TTACTTGCACAAAGACCCACAAACACGCCTTTTTATTATTAGAGATATCCTTTAAGTATAACAAGGATCCTTTTGGCTTATCCAATCCACTAAGCTAAACTTCAATATATTAAAGCCAGTCCTTTTCATTCAAATATTTATCAAGCCTTTCAATAAACTCTCTTAAATTAACTGAAGGCAACCCATCCCAAAGGCCAACTACCCTGTTAGAAAAATAAAACTGTCTTAGCTGAAGATGACTCCTACCCTACCAAAATTTATATTTATGTTTCCTATCCTACCATTCCCACCATTAAGTACAAATTTTGATTATAAGTTTTTTATTTCAACCCTTTTGAGATGGGTCACAGGTGGAAAGTCATGTCATCTCATTTGTTGACACACATTCAAAATATTATTGAATACTATTTCATGAATTTATGTCAATAAGTTTGGTATCAAACTGTAGATTACAATTAAGATTTTAGAACTGTACATTACTCAATTTGTTAATTTAAAAGTAAATATTAAAAATACAGATGAACATCGATTTTTGTGTGTCATATGGTATGTTGAATGCAGCACTGGTTCAAATTAGATGTTTGTGAAGTCAAAATACTAAGTCTATAGTTTCATACGAATTAGAAACTCAAATTACAGATATTGACAAGCTTGAATATAAAATAAGAAGGTCTTATCTTTTTCTGTTAGCTAAGATATTGCTCACATAATAAATCAAACATAGTGGCACCCCGCTCACCTCTTTCAATTTTTGGAAATGTTCCCTTATATACACTTATTTCTATATATGACATGAATAACCAATCGGAAGTTCAGAGTGTCCCCCTCATGATTTTCTCGCCTTTCTAATGTACCTATCGCAATATATCTTTCTTTTGAATCAAGATTTCAATGAGGTAGGTTGTGTGTTTAGTCTACTTGAAATTTCATATTTTTTAGACCCAAATACAGCTTAGTTACTAAGTTTGATAAATTATAGTAGAATTCTATGGTATTGATGTAGTAATTTATGATTTTTTAGTTATGTGCAAAAGTTTTAAAGGCTTAGCAATCTACGTCAAGCAGCAACCAAGTACAAAGGTCGTAACTAGAAGAGATAATTGTTTGCTTTACTTCTTGCAAAGTAATTTTCATTTTAACATTAAAAATACTTTATATGAATCAGAAAAAGTTGAAATAATGTCAAACATTTCTGAAGAAAAAACATTTTATCAGTTATTTTCAGTAATTAATCTCTGTACAGGTTTGGTAAATTTAACCGATCTCGCAAGCACCATAAAAAATTAGGAAATAAACATAAATTATGCCTCTTTCATTCTAGAATGAATACAAGTTATAATACGAAAACATAAATGTTTAGACAAAATAGCTTAAATCTCATAACATTATACATTTATATATATATTTATTATTTTTACTATATTGACCTTTCACCCATGCCTGGCTAATAATACAGAAGTTATGACGACGCGGCTCATGTGCACTTATGTTACCGTATCAAATAACATAAAGGTGACCTTTGATCTGTACAAAGTAACTTGTCTTGGCTGTGTTTATTTTGTAAAATACAGTCACATTTCAGTTATTATGCATTACATATCTATATAGATTATTACTATTTTGAAATAAGTTCTTAAAAGTTATTTTTTCCTAAAACATAGAACAGTAAATAATGATAGATAGGCAAGATGTGAAAAGAAAACAAAATGGCATGAGAGAAACACTGCTTTACAAACCTTAAGACTTAATAAAAATATCAGATATTTTGCATATGAAAGCATTGTAATGTTTACTGATAAACTACCAAATTTCATTAACATTCGCTTACTAATTTAAAAGTTATAGCATAAAAACTATAACAAGCACAAAATGGTTACGAGAAAGTGTTAATATTAAATATTAATAACTGTACATTACTACAAATCCGACAACACCTAAGAAGCTGGGAGTGTATAATGGTCTGTATGACATTTGTTGGTACATTACAGTTTGGAGAGAGAGAAGTCCAAAATTTGAAATTCAAAATCATTTCTTTTGTCATAAATATTAATATTACAAGAATTATTAATTATCTTAATGTTTAAATCAAAATAATGTAATTCAGTGTTTGATATAGAAGTGTTCTCAATCCGTAGAACTGCAGGATAAATGTTACCAGTATAATTACTTATTCCTGGATTATTAATACCAATCAAATAATCAATATTATTACTACACATTGTACTGCTCGATGTTTATATGCATATGGGCAGGCAGGAATTTCCAAAGAAAACAAATGGCGATAACATGAATATTTAGTGAGATTAATTTCTAATATAGATGCTTAAGACAATAAAACTAACATGGCTGTATCAACTTCTTACCGATGGAATATCTAACCAAACCTTCCCAGATCCCAATAAAGAACGTGTGCAAACAAAATTTTATAAAAGTTTTGATCAGTATGAAACATAATAACAATAAATAAAATAAGACTAGCTTTGCATCTCTCAAGATCAGTACAAACTATGAGTATGAACGACAATACATATCAATGGTGTGTGTTTGTGTGTGTACATGTGATGCGCTTAGGCATTGTGTACAAGCTACAGTATAGTAATACGTGTGAGAGTTCCGATGCAAGTCTAGTTTTACTACAGGCTGTACTCTACTGTACTTGGCAGGCAGGCCAAGCTGGTTAGAATGTAAACATTGAATGTGATTGGCCAAGACTGCTGTTCGGTTTCAAAGTTTTACAGGTCATTGACTGCTTGTTTCCTTAAGATACTATGTAACATTGGCATGATTTGGTCTTATTTTTTCCAATGTATTGAAACTTCCCAAGAAATAAGGTATCAAAAATTAGTTGAATAAAGATGCAAAAAATGCCAAATAAACATTAACTGTACTTTTTGGAAATTAATATGATATAAAAACATCAAACTTCTAGTAATTGGGTCTTTTTACATCAATATTGTCATAACTGGATCTTTTCTTTTTTTTGGGGGGGGGGGGTCTATTTTTTTCTCGACAACCAATACAGCCTTCCAGACAATGTCTGATACAGTTCAGGATGTCCAAAGTATAACCTGGGAATTTCCTTAAAATTGAGCCCTGGATACTATTATTATAGTAGAAGTCAATCTTCTTTCTTGTAAAATATACTACAAAGTTGGTTACAGTGTTACACAGGTAACTTTTTAGAAGTTAACTCGTATCAACTGATCAGATATAAGTGACTAATGAGCCCACCCACTGGAAAATACCATTAACTGTAAATAATATGTTTGGGGGAAGAGTAGTAAATATTTCACATATACAAATTACACTGCAAAAAATATATTTAGAATATCATTATTCACCAGAATCAGGTAAAACAGAAAGTCTTCTTTCAAAATAACAAATAACAGTTCAGACATACAGCAACAAGCTTTCCATAATGTTTAAAACTTTTGCTATTATTAAGATTGTATTTAACCTTACACACCTACCCTATTTTATACAATAAGTAATTTTTCTGATTCATATTTACCCAGATTTATTCACAACAGAGAGGACTTATCACAGCATACGCATCCCTTATGAAGAAGATGAATATTAAATTATACACAAAAGATATTCTTAAAGAAGTAATTACTTTGTTGATCTTGGCAATGGATGATTCAATCCCAGTTGTCAGTGGAGCTCCTGTCACTCTTTCTATCAGCTCTACACAGTGTTTACAGAACTTGACATGTTCCTGTCTTTTGTCTTGGAGCACAGGCTCTCGCATTAAAACTGCAAAGGATAAGTTTACAACCAACTTAGTTTATCATTATGATTACTACGGATTAATCTCTTCCCATAGTTACTACATAGAAAAAAACAAAAAACATTCTTTTAAACTGATAACTGACAACAAAAATCAAAAGGATAAAACAAAAAACTTTAATTACCACATCTGTAATCTGATATGTGCCTTTTGTATTATATCTATATTATTGATATACATGTCAGAAAAATCTATAAAGATGATAGTTTCTCAAAACCAACAAACAGAAATATAACCAAACTCATCATTTTGAAAATCGGTCATGTGTAAAAATTAAACTCAAGTTTATGGGGTTATGATCTTATAAAAAATTTTTTTTAACAAATATATATATTGGACAAGAACTTATTTTGTTACTAAATGGTAGTTTATTGTTTTGGATGGGCATAAAGATAACTTACACAGTCTGATTTGTATAATTGGTTATTCAGAGCTATGTTATTAGCAAAAATTTTTATTCAAATAATTTTTTTACTGAGACTCATTACTAATAATAATATAATAAACATAAGAGTGAAACAGTAGTTCCAACATAAGTGTGATAAGCAGCACCTAACTATAGATGAATTAAATTCAAAGACTTATTTTACTCATATTTTATGATTTTTAATAATTTTGAAGAGAAGCAGCATAGATCATAACTAGCATTACACAATATAAAAGTTAAAAGAATAAATAATGTGTTATTTACAGTGTACCAAAAATTTGTATTGGATAAAAAAAAAAGATTACAAAATAAAAAATAATAATCTTAGAATTTTTAGAAAGTATACCATCCTTCATTCTTTAGTCCTGCAGAAAGGTCTGCCTTCCAAAAGCACCCAGAATTTGGATTTCTTATTATACAATATTATTATTATTGTCATTTGAGATACCACTTGAACTTACCTTGACCATCAACATGAAAGGGCTTACAGACTATAATACAAGTTACAGTGCTCATATAGAAGATAAGTCAATCTGATGAAACTTAGTTGAATGGACGGCAACTGCCTGTTGTGGAAACACATGTGTAGAGGACGATTTTTCAACAGTCTTCCGCCTTTTGTCTTCAGGTCAGTTTGAAGACGAAAGGCAGAAGACTTTCAAAATGTCATCCTCTACACTTGTGTTTCTACAACAGGCAGTTGCTGACCATTCAACTAAGTTTCATCAGATTGATTTGTTAGTCACACACTACACTTTGTAAGCTTCCTTGGAAATTTTACAAAAAATTACTTTTCTTTCGATCTAGAGATTTATCTCTCTGACCAATAACAAAAATAATAAGCTGACCTAGTCGTTATCTTAGTTTCAGTTTTAGATAGAAATAAAAATGTTTACCCACATTATACTTTTTAATGGTATCATATGTTTGTAGTACAAAATAATCTTCTAACATAATACTCAACTACTAAAGACAAACACATATTTACCTTGTAACTGTCCACTAGTCAACAGTGGAAGTTTACCTATAATTTGCTTGAATGTCTCACTGCGAGCTAATCCACAGAGAGCCTGAAAATATTTATAATGTTATAGTATAATAGTTTCAAAGAACATGAAACAGTCTTTTAAAATTTGATTAAAAAAAGCAGTTACGTAATTAGAGAGAGAAAAATCATTACCATTTACTGATACACATTTCTGTTTCATATTTTTGATGCTTTATACATTAAACCTTTAATCTAGCTAGTAAATATGAAAATCCAGTGGAATTATCATATTTTCAATAATCTAAAGAATTATAAGTTATTAAATAATAACTGTTCAATCAGAAGTATGTTCAATAACTGAAATAGAAGATATATTCTAAGTTTTGTAGGAACAATAAAATTCTTATATTATAAGCTTAGATTTTAAGAAAACCCGTTACCTACCTTACAAGCTAATGTTCGAATTGAATCTGCATCTGTGATAGGAGCTTTAACAGTCAGTAAATTCAACAGGATCTGGAAAAAAAAAACTTGTAGATTACACAGGATATATTTTACTGAAACAAACATAAATCTACACATAAATATGCTATAAAGACATGAGATACTAATGCATGTGAAACGCATTAATCTAGCATATTGCTGTATATGTAATAATGCAATCTGCAATACAATGTAGTAATGAATGTATGTTCTGGCTAGTCATCTTTCAATTGCTTTTCAAGGATGAGATATAAATGAAGGGCTTATAAAACAATTTAAATACAAAGGCAAATTGGAGGTCATATTCATTTGCTTGAATAATTCTGTGCTACTAAATATTAAAATGCAAGTACAAAATAAGATATTCTTTTTTTTAGTCCTAATAATGCTTGTTATAATTGTATATGCTATTTATTGATAAGTGATGGTTGCATTGCTTGTCATTTTTACATGTACTGCCATTTTGATTAAGCCAAATCAAGGCTAATTCTGCTGCTTAATTACATCATACCTCCAGAAACAACATCTGCTTGAGCTACATCATTACTTTTAATACATCACAGGCGTACCCTCCATCTTAAATGAGGTTTAAAGTCCAAAGAGCACAATCATAAAGTCACGTTACTGCCATCTTTCATAGTTTCCATATGAAAATGACATTGAATCTTTGGGCAATAGAACTGGATGTCCTAAGTTTAGAAGACCGAAAATATACAATATATTTTGCTGTTGGTCTGTTTTGTTTTTTTGAAATTTGATTCGTAGTAATAATACACACATCAATTATCAAAGAGAAATGTCCTTGAAAAGTAAGAAGTAATACTGCTGAATTTACTACTTGTATCTTTACAAAATGTGGCAAGATTTTAGTAAACAGCACAAGTCTGTTTTACATAAAATACCAGATGTGTTAATAAAGTATTTGTACTAAAGATATGTCTATAAATTGATGAAGTCAGTCTGACTTATACTCTGACAAATTGAAGTACAAGGTATGTTCATGTAAAGAATGAAACTACTTTTTTCCATCATACAGTTTGCATTTTGCACTTGCATAATCTCTAAAACCTCATAAATGCATATCTACAATGATTTTCAGTATCCCTGTACACTGTATCTGGTATTTTCTCTACTCTAACGTTAACTGCCTGAAAACTAGCAAAGTAGGGTAAAATAGAAAGCTGATAACTCTGACATCAAAATCATACCATGTTGAATAGCAGTTAGTAGAAGGTTGTGACATGCACACTTTGACCATCCCCCACACTCACAGGGTAATAAATATTTATCAAAAATCCATTATTTTTTATATTAACAAATAATCAACACTTTTTTTTTATATAATGGAGTATAGAATTTCTTTTTTTACATTGATAATTTTTTTGTAATAAAACAAGTTAATTGTGAGGATACCTTACAATATTAAATAATATACCTTAATAAGCCATAATTACTTTATCGTCAATCTCATCAATAAAATTTACCATTATTCCATTGTTTACTCGTACACAGTTCCACATTTTACTGAGCAAATCTTCTCCACTTCTCATGGCTGACTTTTTTTTGGTATTTCCACCTATTATTCGACCAACGGTTCCTCCAAGCTATTGCATAATAACAAGAAACAATTAAAAACTTAAATAAACATTGCTGAAACAGTTTTATCTATTTCTGTCTGTGGTGATACTGTAACACATATTTCAGTTTTAAAGAAATATATATGACATTGGTACACTAGCCTCCTTTCTCACAATAAAAAATTAATAATAAATTAACAAAAAAAAGGGTTTAAGATAATATGTGTTCCACAAATAGTTTTTCCATTATTGGTTGCAAGATACTTCTGTATTTCAAAATGATTTTCTGTGTTACATTTCAAAAATATTTTTCAATACAAAACTATAAAAAATCTATAAAATCATTTAATTAAAGAAACATAAAGGCTTAAAACTAAAAACATTTACAGAGAAGTTAAAAACAATCTAAACAATAAAACAGATTATAATGTTTAACTTCTAAAGTTTGTTGTTTTTTTGGTATATAATCAAATGGTCTTAATTGTCAAAACTAACACTAATGCTTATAACATGCAACCATTTTTTTAAATACTAAATATATTGCAAATAATACATAATTATAATTACTTTTACCATTAGATTTAGATGTAATTTAAATTTTTTGGTTAACTTAAAAACTCTAGTCTTTCATGTTGTTTTTTTTTACTATATATTTAATATATGTGAAGGAATTCAGAGTTGTCACAATGGCTTACCCTCGAGACAGGACCACAAACACAGTTGATTATCACATTTAAAGCTGAGCGCTGGACATCAGGGTCACTGATTCTTTCACCTTTTGCACAAGCGAGAACAATACTGAAAGACAAAATGCTAAGACTGTACACTACATACCATTACCTACTAATAATATTATTTCATTATATTGCCCAAGTTTGCCACTAAATATTTATGAGTGCAACATGGTTATATAATGACATAGCTTTTTCTATAACAGGTATCATTGACAAAATTCAAATGAACTTAAAGTAATTAACACCTATGATTAAGTACTTTTAATTAAATAAAATTCAAGTTTTTATTTTATTTACTAGTTAATTACTTTGCTATATATGTCTCTTAATTCATAATCATGTTTTCATCAAAATAATGATGTAAAATAAAACAAATGCTAACAATAATTTTAATCAATCTAATTGGAAAATACCTCTTTACATGTTTATATATATATGTGAAAGTGAATGTAATATGGAAATGAATCTGTTATAAAAAGCAGATTTGGGGACTAGGAAGAAAAATATAAAAACATCTTTTAGACCTACCTCATCCCTACAGTATTCTGGTTGTCTGCCATGTGAACACTCTCACAAAGAGCAAGTTGTGCTTTTGGTGTTACTGAACAAACTGTGAGAACATCTAGAGCACTACGAACTGTCTCTGCTCTACGTAAATGAAATGGATTTATAAAACACATTTTAAAAAAAGTGAAAATTATCTAGCGTTTTTTTTTAAATTGTTTAAAGACACTACAAGAGAAGAACTCTAAAATGGAAACATTAATAATAAAAACAAGATAAAAAGAAACAACTCTTACTACATCATAAGATGTGCCAATAATTACATCAACTAGATTCCAAAGACATTTCAACCAAAAGAAATAATAAACTAATAATCATACCTACTTATGGAGAAAAAAACTGAAAAATGTCTCTATCCACAAATTTGTATGTTATAAATAACCAAATTAAGAGAAAAGAAGTTAACTATAATCTAAAGTAATTGAAAAGATATAAATACATGAATGAAATTATAATATGACATAAAGCACATAAAAAAAGTATATCTAAACTCCAGCTAAAAAAAAGTAAGTCCTAACCTGCCAGAATAGTTCCATTCGTAAGACATTGCAATAAGTTGCAATAACAGTGGGATACCTCCTAACCTAAGAAGTTCATCCACAGGTTGCCATCTCATCCTCAATGGCATCAACTCCATCAATGCGTCAATGTTTTCTTGAATTGCTTCAGAGCTAAATCTTGCTGCCTGTATTTTAAGGCAATAAAAGAGAACAATACTTTAAAAGTTTGAATAAATACTTTTGGCCTAAGTTTTACAAAATCATCTGACAGTTGTGTTTCAGTAGTAATAATTTTTTTTATCATAGCCAGTTTTTCACTGTGCATAAATATTGCATTTTTTTTCAACAAACAGTCTCTATTATTTGTACAATATCTAATGATCTAAGTAATGATTTTTTTACCTTGTAAGGGGGAACTGTTGGTTGTAATGATCCTCCTTCACTGCGAGAATGTGAACGTCTTTGACGCTCAGCCTCAATACCTAAATGTGCTTCATAATAACGTTTCAAGGCTACACAAACATGTCTTGCAGCCTGTCGACTGGCAAATACTTGTTCGTCATTGAGCAGGGGTTGGGCGTTGGGATCAACCACTAATATGTCTAAGGTACTCATCTAAATACGATAAAACATAACAGCTTAACAATGTAATGCACTAAAAAAAACTTGTAGGTTAATTCAAAAATAAATAATTCCAAATTAATATTTGAAGGTACAGGTACAGAAATTAAAATACTAATTCAATTTTAAAACATGGCATATTGGTTTATAAAAATAAATCTGATAAATTACACAAAATGTTTTTAAGGATTTGACACATAAAAAACCACTTGGGTTATGATTCAACAAACAGAGTGATGCTTCTGTAATGATTAGTTTAAGCTTTCAAAAAAGAAATATACAAGCCATAACTTCAATCATAATTATATGCAAAATAATTAATTTCAAAAATTCAAAGCTACTGATAAAACAAAAACATGGTTAGATCTTCTTTACAAAATTTGAATTAAAATAACAGTAACTAAATTTTGTAAAATTATATTTTATTTTTGATGCTTAGGGTATGAAATTATGTCAAGAAGTTAAATATATCATCTATAAAAGTTACCTAAAATAGTGAAACTGACTTCACTAATAGATTAGCATAATTAGAAAGTATTCAATTAATTATGAGCATACATTTATGTTTTGAAGGGAAGGAGCTAATAACTAACAGAATACAATATCATGTGAATATTAATATCACACCCAGATGTGTATCTTGTCTCAAGAATTAAAATAATTATAGAAAATAAACTTGTATTACAATTTATTCAATAAAGTTTTATTTATTTAAGTTTATACATTAAAACTTTGTAATAAAATTGATAGTTTGATTGGAGGGGTTGATTTCAGCGCTAACGGAATAAAATCATTAGCGTTTGAGAATTTCCTGAATGTTATCTTGGCATAGCACGGCACCCCTTAGGATGAAAGTCATAACAGATTTGAACAAAATAGTAGTAACTTGTCCTTATAACTTAAACACAATTGTAGTCTTAATGGTTTTTGGTCAATTACTGTTTCACAACCTTGGTTGTAATGATGTGAAATAATTGCCTATTGATCTAAGTAGGTTTCACTTTGCCTATAATTCTGATACGGAAAAAAAATATATTTTTAATGTATGTGAGAAATCATAAGCACAGTGAAACAGTGTGCAGTGCTTTTGATATCTAAACAAAGATAAAATTTAGTTTCATAAAATAGTCTTAAAAGAATGTAGGAAGACAAAAAAATTAGTAATTAAAATCCACAAGAAAAATAAACATTTTAGTTGTTTCTTGAAAACAAAAACTGTCAAATTTACAGTATTGTGTACGTCAACTATAGTCAAACGAAAATCCAAAAGCAAAATTCCTTTATTTGATTTAATATAATGAAAGTTGGTCAAAAACCTTTGAGTTAATAAATGCAATGAGTTTAATGCAATTATATTCACTAATCAAAAATTATTTGTTAAGCTTAACATGTATTGCACACACACATCTATTTTCCTATTCATTCCCAGAATAAATTTGCAAGCACATAAAAGTTTAATATTATTACATGTACATGTAGCTCTATGTACACTGAAAAATGAACCATAAAACTGTTAGTAAGACAACCATTCTAACAATATACATATATAACATAACTAAAAATTTCAAACAAATGTTTAATAAAAAAAGAAATGAAGAAACTGCATTTTACATACCACGAAAGAAAGATACATTGTATATTTCCTCTTAGGATAAAAATGAGGTGAACAAATCTTTTTATTATTACAGATCAGTAAGCGAGTGATGATGATGAATGTTTGCAAGCTTAAACATACTATACTTTGGAGGATGAGGATCTAAGAACCTATTCTAAAATCTTGTTTTAGCCCTATTGCTATGGGTTTTCTTATGGTCAGGGGGTCAAAAGACATGTCATCATGTTTGTAGACTCCCATTCAGAATTTTACTGAACTACTATTTTATGAATGTATGTCAATAAGTTTGGTATCAAATTGTAGATTATAATTCAAATTTTAGTATTATACATTAGTTAATTTCTTTACTTAAAAGTAAATATTAAAAAAAAATCCTAAACATCAATTTTTGTGTGTCACATGGTATATTGAATGCAGCTTTGGTTCAAATTAGATGTTTGTGATATTCAAATACAAAGGATATAGTTTCTTACACATTAGAAACTCAAATTACTGATACTGTCAAGCTAAGATATAAAATAAGAACCTCCTATCTTTTCTATTTACTGAGATACGATGATATTTAGTGAATCAAACACAGTAGGCCCTGCCCTCCTCTCCATTTTTGCAAATAGTTGCTTACATACAACTGCTTCGCTCTATCATGTGTTTACAAACAATCAAAAGCTCAGAATTTCCCCCACGTTATTTTCTCAGCCTATTCAAGGCGTCTTATTTCCCAAGATTAATCTTTTTGTTCCAGATCTTGATAGGAAGGAGCAAGAGAAAATAGTGTTCAAAAAACAATATATTTTTAGATAAAAATAAAGCTTAGTTAGTAAACCTGATAAATTGCAGTGGAATCCCGTGATACTGATATAGTAATTTATAATTTTTTGTTATTTCAAAGTACATATATAAAACTTAAAATGCTATTTTGTTTCACATCCTCAACATGGGAAATTTGGCAAGGTTTAGCATGCAAGATACAGGAAGCGAGTACAAACTTCTTTACAACTGTAAGTAGAAGAGATCATTGTTTTCTCTATTTCTTTATTTACTGTTCTATGTCTTAAGAAAAATAACTAAAATTTAAGAACTTATTTGTAAATAGCAATAACATATGTCATGTATTATAACCAAAATGTGACTGTATTTTGCAAAATACTGGTCTAATAGAACAAAGCCAAGACAGGTCACTTTGTAAAGGCCAGTCTTATACTATTGGATACAGTAATATGAGTGCACATGCACCATGTCATTAGAGCTTCTGTAATGTTAGCCAGACAGAACTGAAAGGTCAATCAAATGAAAATAATAAATAAATATACAGATATATAATGTTATGAGATTTAAGCTATTTAGACTAACATTTGTGGTTTCTTATTAAAATTTGTAGTCGTTCTAGAACAAAAACGCATAATTTAAATCTCATTTCCAAATTTTTTATGATGGTTACAAGGTCAGTCAATTTGACCAAACCTGTACAGATATAAGATATAGAAAATAACACATAAGATATAAAGTTTTTCTAAAAACAATTGTTTGATATTTATCTGGATTTTATTAGGAGGCTATAGAGATTTTGCAAATGAAATTCGACAATTTTCTGATGCATAAAGATATTTTTAATTTTAAAATCAAAATTACTTTGCATGTGGAATTGCTAACATTTGTAAGAAAAAATGCATGAGCAAATCTTTAATAAAAAAATCTGATATTTTTTTATCTTTAATGATAATCTGCCAAATTTTGTGAAGATATGCATACTGTATTAAACATTATAGTATGAAAACTATAACAAGAACAAAATGGTTACGAGATTGGTCCCTGGGACCAAGCTGGTGGTGAAAGGGTTAATTTTAATCACTAGTTTTATAAATATGTAACCATTCATGCCCTTAAAATACAGTTTAAAACTTAATATCTCCAAATATCTTCATGTAATATCTTTCACATGAACTTAAAGTTTAGTTCAAATATTAACAAAAATATTTTTCTGAGGGGCATTTACATTTAAGTACTGAATCAATAAGAATTACAATCCATATGTATATATATAAAAGAGGAAGTTTCTTTATTTTGTTCGCTATAGGAAATCAAATGGTTGAACTTACAAATTTTAAAATAACTTCATAATGACCAGTTTTTTACAAGAAATTTAATGGTGTTATTTGTTTTGTATTTGTTGCAGTATTTAATGACGAAATTGACAATTAACTATTATTACACCATTTTTTTGTAATAAACATACAAACATAAGCACGTTTTGCACATAGAAAGCGTTATGGTGGGAGACACTTAGATAACCTTGCTGTCAATTCAGTATTTCCAAAAACAGTTTTCTTTAAATAGTGCTAACTGGTTTCATAAGTGATTTAGTAATTTTGTGAATTGCAAATTATTGTTTAATGATACGGGTGATTATGCCACCCAAGAAACACCCTTTCTATGGAAAGTATTCTGCCGCTAAAAGAATGCAAGCACAAAGAGCAGCTGAAACAGAAGAAGAATGCAATCAAAGACTTTAAGCACAAGCTGCAAGAGAAGCTGCTCAAAGACAGGAAGAGACTTTGGAACAACATATAAAGTTAGACTTCGAGCTCAAGCTGAAAAGCAGGCTATTCAAGCATAGCAAGAAACTGTTGAACAGCACAAAGCCAGAGTTCAGTCAGAATCATCAAGGCAAGCTGGATATAGACAACAAAAAACTTCTGAACAACGTCAAACCAGACTTCAAGCACAAAAATGAAGACAAATAACTTACAGAGAGCAAGAAACAGAGGAGCAACATGATGTACGACTTCAGGCTCAAAGAACAAGACAAACTTAAACACGATCTAATTTCAAATAAAGCTTTGTTTGATTAAATGCTTTTTTATTTCTCACATCACAGCTTTTGTCAACTTACTGAATAATTTGCTGAAAAAAAAATACTGATTTATACATTTCATATCTAAGTTTTCACCATGCAATGCTGAGTAACTCAGCTAGCATATGTATAAATCACACATAAAAAAATCAACAAGTTAAAATGGAATTTTTTTGCTTTCTTTAACTAACTATCACTTGTTGAAATTACTCAAAACTACTTACCACATTGAAAAGTTTCCTTAAACCATCCTGGGCATCAAATAAATCAAGAATAACCCGAAATGCAAAACTAAGACTGAAGAACATAGTGGCATTGTATCGACTAGAATCATGGGAACACTCCAGTAGCCAAAGGGAATATCTGAAATTCAAGTTTTATAACACAATAAATCCAAAATTCACTAATAAATACAGTAAATTAACTACCAAGGGTCACAATTTTAAACAAATATGCCAGTTATAGCCAATAAATTTCATAGTGAAAGAAACACAAAAACATACAAATTTAGGAAAATTATTTTCGAATTACAAAAAAAAAATCTCGGGGGAAAAAAAAAAAACATTTCAAACTTTGACAGTTTACCACAATTGTGTTCAACAATATCAAATATTTACTTGGCATAAATCCATTTGTCAAGTTATCAAAAATACAAGTTTCATTTTTGACAATATTATGACAAATGAAGATATTCAGATGTTAATAATGAATTATATATCTACAATAAAAATGTGCTTTACAGCAACAAAACCACTAACATAATAGCCATTAACGCTAGCTTAGCATCACTTCCTTTATACAAACTACTCTCTCAAGTATATAATGAAAAACTTGTACATATCTTTTACTTGGTATAATTTAATACTGCTGTCACACACACACACACACACACACATATATATATATATATATACAATAGATTTAATATTATAAATTAATTTTTTGGAACATATGTGGCCACAAAAATCAAAAAATACTTGTACATTTCAACAACAGGTAAAAAAAAAACAACAGAAAGATAATGAAATATTTCTTAACCTTTTCATGTAGACTACAACATACCTGACTAATTCAGAAAGAACATGTTGAGGTAAGAGGCACACCTGTTAAAATTAATAAATTATTTAATTAATATCTCTTCCAAAATGCACATCACAACAATTTTCAGCAATTGCACGTTTTTACAAATCTCGAATGATGACAGTTTCACATTTGATAAATATATATATATATATATACCACAATATAATTTCACATTTGATATGTATATACACACTCCACAATCCAAACAAATGTATAATTAATAACAGTATTCAGTATGCTTTATGTGTTACGTTTAAGTGAAAGCCAAAAAATTTCTTCACCACTGTGAAACTTTTTCTTAGAACATAAAAGATTCTCTTAGAAATAACCCAAAGAATATAATGATTAAGAAGTACAACCACAATGAGTGATGCATAAAATAACTAGAGGGGCACTCAGTAGAGCACATACCTTCACCGCCATGCAGTGTTGATCATATTCGACCCTAAACAAAATATGAATATGTGTCTATACGTCCGTCATAATCAAAGCACATGGACTACTTTTGACAAGATAATGAGGAATAATATTCTACATATGTCGATCAAGTTTCATCAAAATCCAATAATTTTTGACTGAATTATGGAGCAAAAATAGTGTGAAAAATTGGTCTCCATGTTAACAGATAGGAAACTTTTTTTCATAACCATGCTGTGACCTTGACCCTCCAAAAACTAATCACTTTTAAGTTGAGTCATAGTCCAAATGTATACCAACTTTCATCCAAATCTATTCAGCTGTTTTCATGAAATCTTGCTGACAAACACACAATTTATCCTAAGTAGCTTTAAACTTGTAACAGTGTACATCTATTTATAATTAAATTTTATTGTTTTATTGTCCTTTGAACTATGTCTAACTACTGTTCTCATCATTATAAGTTGTAAATCACTTGGAGAATGTGGTGGTCATGTCACGCTGTCGAATTTTATACTAATGATAGTAATGCATTAAATAATTTCTATTTAATTAAATGATGCACCAAAGAAGACAGACTAATAACATGCAAAACACAATTTCCCCTAACTTTCACAATTTTTCTGGCTTTCTGACTATGCGACAAGAGCTGCTGTGGGAACAAAGCTTGTACTAACAGTGAAATTGACAATTCTCAGTTCAGAAAACAATGTTATGTAATACGTGATTTCATAGATGAAAACCTTGGCTTTCTGTTGATTATAGGTAATATAGAATTAAACGTAAGAGAGAACTATTAACAAATACTGAAAGAGAGAATGTGGCAGGTGGGTGTGGCAAGATAGCTCTGTAACCAAACAAAACCGAAGGCCTTAAAAATTATGGTTTGTCTGAGCAATGATGATTTAATAGTGAGTAATTTAATTTCCTACTTTTATGTTTTCACCATTGTATGTATGTATGTGAAATGTAGTTTCATATTACAATTTGAAGCCATTCTAGAAAGAAAAAAAGTAATTTAGATTTATTTAGATTTTTTTTGGTGGTTACGAGGTCGGTCAAATTGACCAACGTTTTTATAGAGTTAGGTAGAGAAAACTACAGATAAAACATAAAGTTTTACTGAAAATAAACATTTGTATTGTATTTAGGAGATTTTTGAGATGAAGAAAAGTCAATTTCATCTTAACATGAAAATCACTTTGCACACAAAACAAATACTCGATATTCATGAACAAATCTTTAGTTTATATAAAATACTATAAAAAAAATATGATTTTTTGTAAGTGAAAGACTTATAATGCTTACTGAAAGACAACCAAGTTTTGTGAAGATATACATATTATATTAAAAGTTAGTTGTGTCAAATCTATAAAAACTTTATACAAGTACAAAAAGGTCACGTAGTTGGTCAAATTGACCGAGCCCATATTGAGAGAGAGTTAAGCATATTAAAAGTCATGTTATGGGCTAAGCTTTTAACTTCAGTGAGACAATACAATGTTCTAACTCTACTTTTAAAAATTAGAACAAAGGTGCATTGTTAATACATATATCACTACCTTTTTTTCTCTTTCCAACAGTATGTTGCCAGAAGTTTTTATATAAACCATGATGAGGATTTGGTTAGTCAAGAAAAACCCTTATGTAGATATGTAGAGTTTTAGTTTTATTAGATTTATTATTTCAAATTTTATCTATCCTAACTGAAGTATGCCACAAGCAGCTATAATTGAGAAACATTACTAAGAATTTAACACATAAGCATGAACATACCCTTTCCATGGCATCTTCACTGTATGCTAAGTAATATAGACAGACAGACACTCCAGTGGCAGCAACAGATGGTCGGTAAACCTGGAGTAACTTCTGAAGGCCTCCCACATTGATAAATTCTATTGAAAACTTCTTGTGACAAAGTAATGCTGCTAGGTACTGAAAACAAGTTCACTCATTACTGAGGTGTTTTTAACACACAACAATTTATATGTATACACATTATAATCCTTATAATTGATAATATTTTACAGCAAAAATACTGAAACTAACCCCCCCCCCAAAAAAAATACATGACTGGTATGGTGTCCAACTTCAGAACTGTTCTGCTGTTGACCTATTTATACACTGAGATTACTGAGCAAATCTGGAGTTTTATTTATGACATTAAAACTAAAACCTGCAGGAGAATATTATACTAATTTTTTAAATATACTTTATATCAACAAGATAGGAAACATAATTATCTAAGAATTCTAAGAATAAATATTCAAGTAAAATAAACATATACTTCCAGTATTAAAAATCAAAATTATTTTAGTGTGGTTGCTAACTGTAATAGATACTATAGTATGTTGCAAACTACAATAAATATCAAAATACACAAAGAATTTTTATAGATTTCACAGACAAATTCCTAGACATAAATCAATAAAAATGTTATCAATTACATATTAAAATAAAGGTTAACATTAAAAAAAAATAACTCACAAGAAACAGATAATGATATTATAATATTACCAGAAAATGCAGTAAGGGAAAATCTAGAGATTAATAGATTACAACATGAAACATACCTTTAGAGCTTCAAAGGCTAATCTTACATCACTGATCTCCTTGAGATTAATGTAGTGAAGAATGAGGGACATGGCATTGTGTTCAAACACGTAGCTTAAGAGCTATAAATAAAACCATTAAGCGTTAATGAATTATTAGTTTACTGTCCAACTAAATAATTACTAAACTCAACTTTGAAAATCTACACTCACTCATAACTTTCTATGGAAGACAAGAAACACTGAAAAATATAGGAAAAAAAAGGGAAAACTATATAACACAAAACAGATGGCTTTACACTTATTTTACATAGGGAAAACATCTCTTGATAACTAGTAATTTTTACCCTCACCCTGCTAGGGTATTGCAATTGGGTCTGTGTTTTTCTGTGTTTGTATCCCGAAACCTAATAGATCGATGTACATTAAAATATGACACAAGATGGGAAGTTAGTATGGAACAGTCCTTCCCAAATTTGATCGAGATCCAAATTCGGATTCTGGATCATAATGAAGCATTTTTTTTATAATGGGGAAATAGGGCATTTTTACAGTTTTTGGTTAATAACTCTATAAATGTGATTGGATTTGTACCAAA